CTGCTGGCTCATGGTCAACCTGTCGTCCACCAGCACACCCAGGTCCCTCTCCACAGAGCTGCTCTCCAGCAGGTCCGCCCCAAGCCTGTACTGATGCATGGGGTCGTTCCTCCCCAGGTGCAGGACCCTGTATTTGCCCTTGTTGAACCTCATCAGGTTCCTTTCTGCCCAACTTTCCAGCCTGTCCAGGTCACGCTGAATGACAGCACAACCTTCTGGTGTATCCACCACTCCTCCCAGTTTGGTGTCATCAGCAAACTTGCTGAGGGTACATTCTAACTCTTCATCCAGGTCGTTTTGTTAGACCATTTTGTGTCTAGACATGAAGGCCTTTGTGTCATCTGACAGGTCTTAAAGCTCAGCGGAGTCTAGAGCACTTTTGCCAGGTTTTGCCAGGTACTTGCACTACCTGCAGTGAACTTTGTTTTACCAGGTTTGCACTACAGAGTACTGAAACTCATTCAGCCTCCAGTCAAGTCAGTGCCTTAGTGCAGTCCACTGATACAAGCAGTAATATTGCAGCAGTACGGGACTGTCAACAGACATTCTTAACCTGCTTTTCAATGGTTTGGGACATTGCCCCTTTACTCTGCTCTCGTGAGACCCTATCTGGAGTACTGTGTCCAGCTCTGGAGCCCCCAACATGAGAAGGACATGGATGTGTTGGAGCGGGTCCAGAGGAGGGCCACGAAGATGATCCGAGGGCTGGAGTACCTCTCCTATGAGGACAGGCTAAGAGAGTTGGGGCTGGTCAACCTCAGCCTGGAGAAGAGAAGGCTCCAGGATGACCTTACAGCAGCCTGCCAGTACCTGAAGGGGCCTACAGGAAGGATGGAGAGGAGCTTTTCACAAGGGTGTGTAGTGATAGGACAAGGGGGAATGGTTGTAAACTAAAAGAGGGCAGATTTTGATTAGATATTAGGAAGAAATTCTTCACCATGAGGGTGGTGAAACACTGGCAGAGGTTGCCCAGAGAAACTGTGGCTGCCCCCTCCCTGGAAGTGTTCAGGGCCAGGTTGGATGGAGCTCTGAGCACCCTGGTTTAGTGGAAGATATCCCTGCTCATGGCAGAGGGGTTGGAACCAGATGATCTTTGAGGTCCCTTCCAACCCTTACCATTCTGTGATTCTATGATTCTATGATTTTTCAAAAGCAAGAGGAGAGTTATGGGCCCAGACTGCACTGCAAGTCAAATATCCTCGAGAATCTTCCCTTTTGTGTTCATGAAAGGCATCCATTGCTTGTGTTGATTGCTGTGGTTTCGGAGTTACTGTTAGCAGCATGAGTAACCAGTGAATGTAAAACCTGTTCAGCTGTAGTCATCATCTAACACTTTAGGTGCAGCCTCACAGCACTCTTAATGAAAGGCAGTAGAAAAAATAGCAAATATCCCTCCTCTTGATGAAATTACCCTGGAATTCCATTAAATGTGTTTTTTCTTTCCCCAGCCTACTTCTTAATTCTTGCAAGTCATAATAAGACCTGCTACTTTCAAGCCTTGCAAGTTAGTCTTAGCCTTTGAAGTTAGTTTAGTTTGTAACTGGCAAGTGTAGGAAGCATTTTCTGAGTTCAAAAGACCCACGTGTTTTTCTTGAAATTTTTGTAAACTATCTAGTGGTTTTGGGTTTCATTGTTCTCTTTCCACTCAAAGCATAACAGAAACCAACATTTCAAGGACCCAGATGTCTTTAGTACTGCCTTCAGCAGAGGTACGTTACATGATCTGAGATTTCTAATATGGTTACACACAAACTGAGCTGAGGGAGGGTAGAGGTAGCTGAAAGGCTAAAACAAGTGCCCTGTTCACTGTCTATGCATTTCCTTGGCTAAAATCAATGACGAAAATTATTCGGCAATTTTCCGTTGGCTGTTTGAAATTTGACACACTGTGGAACAGTGTCTTCCAAAGACAAGGCCCAAGCAATAGTGTGCCACTGGCCTTATTCAGAAGCACAGAATAGATTGCCATTCCCTTGTACTCCAAGAGTAACAGTCATTCACCTTACTCCTCTTTTTTTTTTTTTGTTAAAGACAAACGTTGAATCTACTGAATATGCTAAGAATAAAAGACTGTCTCTACGTGTTTACTCATATGCATAAATGTCGCAGCATGGAAGTGTTAGGGGGAGTTCTCTCTGCCCGATATGAGGTAACTAACATAGGTAGTTACTCTTCCTAGGCTCCCTGTATCATCTCTTCCTAGGCTCCCTGTATCATCAGTGGAATTACACTGGCCTCTTCACAGTCCGTGTAAGGCACACATCCTCAAATTACCATCTGACAGATCTGTCTCTATCTATCACCTAGGAAAGCTAGGCTCCTAAATTAGATAAATTTGTTAGGCGCATTAATGAGGCAGCATGAATAACCCAGTCATGCTGTCAGACCCAAGTCTCAGGAGTCTAGCCATTCCTACTCCCTCATATTCTCCTTACGTGTATATATGCAAAATGTAGCTTTAAAGTCACATGAATTATTTTTCTCTGGACGGATTGAAAAAACTAAACCAGTGCAGTTTCAGGGTTAACATTTGATAAAATGGGGACTTTTCAGCAGTAAGTTTATTCATTCAGCCTTGCATTCTAATGCATTATTTATTAGTAAGGAAGCCATGTAAAGAAAGAAAAAAAAGGGGAAAAAAAAGGGGGGGGAAGGGGGAAGTGACATTTAAAATGAGAAATTAGAGTTAAACAAAGAGAAAGCTGATTGTTTTCAGACATGGTAAAAATACTATGTCAGAGCCTTGCCTTCCTTTTCTAAAGGAAATTCTAAAAAAAATTTGGTTTATTTTATATTCTGATTTTCTTGGTGAGCTACAACTAGTCTGGGAAACTTTTCCCTTTGTGATAACTTTGGGGTCCTCCACCTTGTCTGTGTACTCAAAAGTAATGATATTACATCTGAGCAGGTTTAAAGATTTTAATATATTTATGATCTATTCACAGTATTGATATAATTTTTACTGTTCACTCATGACATGGCCAACTTCATGTGATAAGATACTGTCCATCCTTCTGCAAAGCTTCACAGGTCCCATTGGTAACTATCAGCTACATCATAAATACAGAAATTTCTATTCAGATTTTATTCTAAAAATATATAGAATGAAATATATGTATCAGTTTAATATGTTATTATAAACTGCTGTAAATAATATTTAAGGGAGGAAACTTGTGGATTTCTAGACCTTAATGCTTTATGTCTTCTGTGGAGAGACTGGCATTTAAAGGTGCTAATAGAGGAAATGATGCCAAGCTGTTATACTACTATTTAACATACTTAGAGTGTGCTAAAGCTCTTCCTGACAAAATTAACTTTTAGTAAGTGGTCAGATATCTTAATAAGGGCTCCTTTGGCTGTAAAAATGTCAACCTGGCCCAAAAGTCAGATGTGAAACATGAGAGGTTGATCTGGAGTACACTAATTAAATGATATAAATAACTAAGTTTTCAGAGGCTATTCTTGTTGCTGTCTTCTAGTAGTATATTAATAAGGTCAAACAAGAAATTTGTCCAGTGGAGGAGATTCTTCACGGCTTCCTAACGTTTAATCTTTGGATGAGACAATGTATTTTTAGGCTGTGTCATCCCCTCCCACTCCAATATAGAAGACCTGGTTTTCATGTTTCAGTGCTATTGCATAATTTTCTTCCTTTAAAGCATAATAATAATTGACAATAAGTTCTCACTTTGGTAGGCATTTTGTGGTTAGAACACCATTTCCATCAGCTTTAAGGACAGCAGCTGAGATGGGTAGGAAAGATGCAACTCTAGTATGTGCTGTATCAGGTATCACAGAAAAATGGTTGCAATGCAAAAAGAAAGAGATGGCTCAGTTGTGCTTAGAGACAATCAGACATACACAGCTCCTATTGAGATAAGAGGAAACCTCATGTTCCCTTTTCTAGTCCCCAACACAGTCCACAAAAAGCTGGCTTGGAACGCCTGCTAGAGAAAGCTCTACTCAGCCGTTTGGGGCCAAGTACTTTTTTGCAGTGTCAAAGGGTTTAACAATGGGATTCACAGGCGAAACCAAGACACAATTGTTTGATGACTGATTACCTGGCATCTTCATAGTCATTTCTCTCTCTGTTTTCACAGTGCCTTGGGTGTGTGTGACCAGTGTGTTGCTCCTCAGCGTAATATTTCCTGTTAGTGCTGACGCTGTGTTGAAGAGCGTTGGTTTGTCTCCACTGTCCACCAGCCCTGCCTTCTCTGCACACACACATGCACGCATGCATGTGCACAT